GCCCCGCTGCCTTTCCTTCTCCCCGCTCCGCTGCCGACAGGGAGCAGCGCCGACTTCCAGCCCCCTCCCGAGCCGCTGCGTGGGTCTGCCCCGCGGCGGAGCGGCAGCGTTTCGGTGCCCACGCGCGTGGAGGAGCTCGGGCGCATCGCGTCCTGGGACCAGTGCCAAGGTGGCTTAGTGCTGCTTGCTGTCCCCTAGGAGTGACTTTGCTGTGGGTTTGCTTGCTCTCTGCAGACAACACGGCCGCGGTGCACACACAAAGAGTGGGCTTCAATCGCCAAGAGCAGGACGTGTATTTGCTGCCCATCCTGGTGGTGGACAGCGGCCCCCCGGCCCTCAGCAGCACGGGGACTCTGACCATCCGCGTGTGTGGCTGCGACAGCAGTGGGGCCATCCAGTCCTGCAACAGCACGGCCTACGTCATGTCTGCCACGCTGAGCCCCGGCGCGCTCATCGCTCTGCTGGTGTGCATCCTCATTCTGATCGGTGAGTGCCTGCCTGCTGCCCTCCCCTTCCCCCATCTGCATCCCCTCATTGGTGGTCATGCACGCGAGCAGAGGTAGTTGCTTTGGGCCTGGTAGAGACCCCCTTGGCCACCCAACACCTTGCCAGGAGCTCTCTGCAGAGTGGGGGGCTGCAAACCTGACCCCCAGCCACAGGGTGCAGGTGGGACCTGGCTGTTGGGGACATTTCCATGCTTGTCCCAGGCCGAGTCCTTGGTGGGCTGGGCTCAGCGACACATCCGAAGCAGGACAATTCCCCCTGCAGTGGGTAGATGGGCTTCCCTCTCGCCAAGGATGGAGAGCTGGTCGGCTGGCCAACCTTTCCTGGGCGGGAGGCTGAGAGCCACACGCAGGCAGAGTGACAGTGTGTATGCAGCAGTGTGCCTCACTGCAGACGAGGAGTGTGCATGTGTCCCAAGGGCTGGGCCGTGGTGGCCAAGGCTGGCAGACGTAGGGCAGGCAATCATGCAGTGGTACTCTTGTCTCAGAGGCCCGTGAGGGTCAACGTTACAGTGTGTGTGGATACGGAGCAGGGCTGGTTTAGCGCCTGCAAGGGTAGGTTGTGGAAAAGTGTCCTGGGGTCTGTGGGGAGCATGCAAACCAGCTGTTGGGGGACAGGCCAGCCCTGTGCGGGGACGCTCTCCATGTTGCAGGGGTGCTGCCAGGTGCCATCAACACATTTGCACCAGCGTGAGCTGGGGCTCCAGGGCACGGAGTGAAGGTGCGGGGGAAGAGTGGGCTTGTTTGCACGCAGAGAGAGGAGGGGGCCCGGAGGGGGGGGTGCCACAGTGCCCTCGGGTTTAGCAGTGTGGAGCTGATGGATGCTGCTGCTGAAAGCCCTCTGGCATCAGCATGGGCTCGCAGCTGGCTCCTGAGGGCTGTCAGGACATCTGTGGAAGCCAGCATGTTGTTCACTGAAGTCTCTCTTCTCCTTGGCACGTCTCCGCTGCCCGTCTCCCGCTGCGCCTCCGTTTAGAAAACCCTTTCCCACAGGGTGCACTTTACACTGGTTTCATTTTCCAACGCAGTGCAAACAAATTTCTGCCTAATTGCCCAAACGAATAAAGTGCACATCGGTGCTCTAAAGGTGATGGGATGAATGGATGATGATCCAGGACACATCTGTGGCTCATTGCTTAGGCTCTGTGCCATCTGCTCCACAATCACCCTCCCAGCATTTGGCTGCTGCTGTGATTCATGCGCCCCCTTTCCTATTCATCTTCCACAGAATCCAGCCGTTTGTCTGTCCAGCCGTGCGTTCATCCATCTGTCCCTCCTGTCTCTGTGGTCATGCTGCATGGAAAGGAAGCTCCTGGTCTGCACTGGAGGCCAGGCCCATCTCTCTCCCACCCAGTGACACAACACAGCTGCTACTTAATAAGCCTGGCTGATACGAACCGGCTGGCAGTGCCGCCCGGGCTGCCCCGCCCGCCGGGCCTGCCTGTGCCAGAGGCTGCTTTGCCTTTGTGCCCGGCCCCGAACGCAGGCCATCCTCGCGCCTCTGAGAGCAGCTTGCATGACCCCATCACCCTGTCTGCTGACTGTCTCTTCCCTTCCCAGTGCTGGTCCTTCTGATCCTTACGTTGAAGCGACACCACAAAAGCCACCTGACATCCGAGGATGACGAGGACATGAGGGACAATGTCATCAAATACAATGATGAAGGGGGTGGCGAGCAGGACACAGAGGCCTATGATATGTCAGCCCTGCGCAGCCTCTACGACTTCAGCGAGATCAAAGGTGGTGACGGTGGAGGGGGGCCAGGAGAGGGAGGTCTGAGTGGAAACCTGGCCTCTGAGCTCCACGCCCTCCCGCAGTGGGTGCAGAACCCAGACCTGGACTTCTCCGTCTTCAGGGACTATATCTGCAAGAAGGTGGAGCAGGCGGATGAGGACATCTCAGTGCCGCCTTACGACTCGTTCCAGACCTACGCCTTCGAGGGCTCGGACTCCCCCATCCCCTCCCTGAGCTCCATCAACACCTGGTCCAGCGGCTCGGAGCAGGACTTCTCCTACCTGGGGGGCTGGGGGCCACGTTTCCGGCAGCTGGCTGCGCTCTACATGGGGCGCAAGGGTGAGGAGGAGGGCGAGGAGTCCTAGCTGCCCTGGCCAAAGCCCCGGAGCGAGGCACGGGGCGCGTGCCAGACTGGGGCCCCCACGCAGGGCGCTGCACGAGCGCGTGCCCAGGACAGCGTGCTCCTCAGCACAGACAGGGCTAGGCTGGAGTGCCCAAAGGAGCCGTTGCTGCCATCATAATCTCTTTAATACCAATCTCCATTAAAGCACTACACGTTAATTTAAGAAAGAGAAAAATCTAATTCAAGGGAGTTTGGAGGGGGTTTCTCCCCCACAAATTATCATTTAAATAGATCTGTTCAGAGAGCCCAGTTCAGGAAGGAAGAGCAGACCAGGAGCCTTTTGTTGTCCAAATTGTTTTCGTCACTTGATTCAGAGCCTCTGAAGTGCTCTGATTGCTTTAAGAGCTTTCCTTGCCGAGGGAAACAAGCTTTTCACTTCTGTTCTGGTTTTTCCCTCCATGCTGGCTCACTTTTTGGAGTCTCCGCTCGGCGGGGGTCCCTCGCACGGGGCTGGGGCAGAGCCGCAGGGCGGCCGCGGCGGGTGC